AATCAGCCACAAGTGGCTACAGTATTTGGCAGGAGGTCTTCCAGGGCTGGGCTGTCTCAGAACTGGACTATGCAGGGATGGGAATAGTATTCTATGTGGCATGGATTATAAGAACAGGCAGGAAGGAGTGTGCCAAGGAGATCAGTGGAAAATGGAGGTAAAAGGTCAATTGGAATCAGATTTATGGGACTTGAATGGAAGATACAGAAGTGTCATAAGCAACCCCTTTCTTTTTTCATCCATTCCTGGGGACYAAGACATATCAGTAGGTATTTTCTTTATTCCTTTCTCCAGCTACAAAGACATCATCAGTGAATATAATGTAACATATTCAAGCAGCACYTCTTGATGGATATTTGGGTTGTTTCCAGTCTTAGTAAACACAATGCCTTATGTAGAAGACAATTTATATTTTATACAATGTTATCTTGGACCCGGTGGATCCAGGGGTGGCCTTCCGGTGCTCCTGCCTAGAATTCACTTCTAGCCCTTCAAGCAACTTTGCAAGAAATGGACAGGAAATCCCTGCTTCCTTCCGTAGATTCAAGGGTCAGCCTTATCCAGAGGAATGCAAGCAGATGCATCAGGGGGCATACAACTGCCTGCTCTAGKGCCACCACAGAGACCACACTTATCACTGCAGCATATCATTCACTCAAATGAAAGGGATAAGCTTCCTATTTTTCCTATTCCCTGAGTTTTCCTATTCCCTGAAACCGAACAAGTGCCTTGTTGACAGTCTGCATCTCAAAATCATTTTATTTTATTTTTTTKGGGGGAAGGGTGGAGATTGAACTCYGGGATATTCTACCATGCCTCAAGTCTGTTGGGTCACTGGGGATATGGGTGTGTATCACCACACCTGGCTCAAAATAACTTTATTTTTCTTTTACCTTTGTTTTTATTTATTTTTATATGGTGYCGAGGATCAAACCCAGGGCCTTGCATGTGCTAAGTGAGCGCTCTACTGGTGAGCCACAACCCCAGCCCCTCAAAATAATTTTAATCAAATAGGGAGCATATGGGGAAAAAATGAAGTTGGGTCTTTACTTCATAGAAGGATAATTCCCAAACCTATAAAAAWTTTTTTTCATGCCTAATAATGAAACTAGAAAAACACTAGAAAAATGTAGGAAAACTATTTAATAACCCGAATGAGGAAAGTTTCTCTAACTATGAAAACAGAGCAGAAAGTCTTTGAGATTTATGGCTGGGTAAAGAGTTCTTAGACATGATACTAAAGACATGATTTATAGAAGAGTCAATAATTTGAACTTTTTCAAAATTCAAAACTCTTGTTCTGCAAAAGTCCCTGTTTAAGAAATGAAAACACAAGCTATAGAATGGGGARAAAATTGTAAAGTATATATGTGACAAATGGGCTTTATCTAGATAGAATATGTAAAGAAATCTCAAAATCTAATTATGGAAAACCAACAACCATTAAGAAAATGACCAAAAAACATCAGCAGACATTTCATCCAAGATGATACAAGGATGGCAAAGATGTTCAATAATATCACTAGCTGTTAGGGAAATGCAAATGAAAGCCACATGAAATATCACTGTATATCTATTAGAGTCTAAAGGGGAAAAAAAAAGCAATACCAAATTCTGGATCTCTCTTCTATTGCTAGTGGAAACAAAGTGGTAGAGACACTCTGGAAAATAATTTGGCACTTTCCTATAAGATCTCAAATCACACTCCTGGGTATTTATCTCAAAAGAATGAAAAACTTACAAATTTTCAAACCCCTGTACATGTTCATGGCACTTTTTTTTGGTGTGTGTGTTGCTGGGGATTGAAGCCAGGGCTTTGGGCATGTGAGACAAACAATCTAACAACAGAGCCATATCCCCAACCCTTGTTTTGTTTTTGGTACCAGGGATTGAACTGGGGGGCACTTGACCACAGTCACA